TCTAGATGTGATTTTGGGGCTTTGAAAGATTTTGAGGGGTGAAGAGCTCACATGTGTATTTTTAAGGTCATCGAGGCTTCTGTGAGGAGCATACACTGATAGGAGGGAAAGGATACAGAGACAACCTGGGCAATTTTATGGAAATGAAATGATGCAAAGTAAGCCCTTAGCTCAGCACCTGGGACATAGGAAGTGTTCAGTGCAAGTCAGTGGTTATAGTTATTCTCATTGACTGAACTTCCTCACATTACCATGCTCAACTTAGTTTTCCTTTTCACTGGCTGTGTCCTGAAACCCCAGCATTCTTGCCAGATCGGAGTGCAGTTATTAAATCTGCAAATCATAAGCATGGCCCTGGATTCTTTCTGATCTAGGGAATTAGTCTTCAAGGATCCTTATCTGAGATCCTCTGTTATAAATGAGTCTTGAATTAAATCTCACTTGACACTCAAGATGTGGTCTACTTTACTTAATGATTTCTTTCTCTCTCTCTTTTTTTAGATTTTTAAAATGTATTTATTTGAGAGTCAGAGTTACAGGCAGAGAGAGAGAGAGAGAGAGAGAGAAAGGTCTTGCATCTGGTAGTTGACTCCCCAAATGTCTACAATGGCATGAGCTGGGCCAATCTGAAGCCAGGAGCCAGGAGCTTCTTCTGTCTCTCCCATGTGGGTGCAGGGGCCAAAGCACTTGGGTCATCTTTCACTGCATTTCTAAGCCATAAGCAGAGAACTGGACCAGAACAGGAGCAGCTGAGACATGAACCAGTGCCCATGGCTTTGGCTACTATGCCACAGCACTGGCCCCTTAATGATTTCTAATTCACATAAAGGATTTTGTCAGATTCCATGTTGATTTTGTTTACCACATTGGAGTTACTTTATTTTTATTATTTTACTTTAATGAATAATCTGTCAATTAAATTTGATCTTATTTTTAAAAATATTCTCTAGGATAGACTATATATTAGGCCACAAAGCAAGTCTTAGCAACTTCAAAAAATTTGAGACCATAGCATGCATCTTCTCTAACCACAATGGAATGAAGCTGGAAATCAACAATTCAAGAATCTCTAGATCTTATGCAAACACATGGGTACTGAACACCATGTTCCTGAATGAATAGTGGACCATAGAAGAAATGAAAAGATAAATAAAAAAGATTCTGGAAATGAATAGAGATGACAATACATTATATCAAAACTTATGGGATACAGCAAAAACAGTGTTAAGAGGGAAGTTTACAGCAATTGGTGACTACATGAAAAAAATTGGAAAGGCAAAAAATAAATGAGCTATCAATGCATCTCAAGGACCTAGAAAAACACAACAAATCAAACTCCAAATTAGTAGGAGGAAAGAATTAATTAAAATCAGAGAAGAAATAAACAATATTGAAACAAAAAATCAGTGATCTGAAGAGCTTGTTTTTTGAAAAATAAACACAATTGACACACTTTGTCTCAACTTTCCAAAAAAAAGGGGAGAAGACCCAAATCAATAAAATCAGAGGTGAAAAAGGAAATATAACAACATACACCACAAAAATAAAAAGAATCATCAAGAATTACTACAAAGAGCTATCTGCCAACAAATAAGGAAACCTAGAAGAAATGGAGGTTCCTAGACACATGCAATGTACCAAAACTGAGTTACGAAGACATAGGAAACCTAAACAAATCAATGACCAAGATGGAGATATAATCAGTAATAAAGACCTTCCTAACAAAGAAAAGGCCAGGACAGGATGGCTTCACTGCTGAATTCTACCAGACGTTTAAAGAAGAACTAATTCCAATTCTTCTTAAGCTAATCAAAACACTGAAAGGGAGAAAATCCTCACAAAATCCTTTTCTGAACCCTGCATCACATTCCTAAACCAGAAAAAGATGCAACAGAGAAAGAGAACTACAGACCAATATTCCTGATGAATGTAGATGTAAAAATCCTAAACAAAACATATAGTTAATCAAGTCCAACAACTCATCAGAAAGATCATCCACCCAGACCAAGTAGGATTCACCCTGGTATGCAGTGATGGTTCAACATTCACAAATCAATCAATGTGATACATCACATTAACAAACTGAAAATAAAAATCATATGATTAGCTCAATAGATGCAGAGAAAGCATTTGGTAAAATACAACATCCTTTCGTGATTAAAAAAGAAAAACTTAAGCAAATTGGGTATAGAGGGAACATTCTTCAATACAATCAAGGCAATTTATGACTATCCCATGGGCAACATCTTATAGAGTAGGAAAGCTGGAAGCATTTTTCTTATGATCCAGAACCAGACAAGAATGCCCACTTTCATCATTACTTTTTAATAAAGTCCTAGAAGTTTTAACCAGAGATCCATTAGGAAGGAGCAAGAAATCAAAGGGATACAAATTGGGAAGGAGGAAGTCAAACTATCCCTATTTGCAGATGACCTGATTCTATATATAGGGGATCAAAAAGACTCTACTGATAGACTATTGGAACTCATAAAAGATATGGGCAAAGTGGCAGAGTATAAAATCAATGCACAAAAATCAATAAACTTTGTACACACAGTCAATGCCATGGCTAAGAAAGAACTTTTTTTTTTTAATTTGACAGGTAGAGTTATAGACAGTGAGAGAGAGACAGAGACAGAGAGAAAGGTCTTCCTTCTGTTGGTTCACTCCCCAAATGGCCACCACGGCTGGAGCTGTGCTGATCTGAAGCCAGGAGCCAGGTGCTTCCTCCTGGTCTCCCATGGGGATGCAGGGGCCCAAGCATCTGGGCCATCCTCCTCTGCCCTCCCAGGCAACAGCAGAGAACTGGACTGGAAGAGGAAGCAACCAGGACTAGAACTGGTACCCATATGGGATGCCGGCACCATGGGCAGAGGATCAGCCAAGTGAGCCACGGCGCTGGCCCCAAAAAGAACTTTTAAGATCAAACCAATTCACAATAGATACAAGAAGAATTAAATACCTCGGAATGAATTTAACCAAGGATGTCAAATATCTCTATGATGAAAATTACAAAATATTAAAGGAATAAATAGAAGAAGACATTAAAAATGCAAAAATCTTCCATGATCATGGACTGGAAGAATCAACATCATCAAAATGTCCATACTGCCAAAAGCACTTTACAGATTCAATGAAATTCCAATCAAAATACTAATGAAATTCTTTGCAGATCTAGAAAATAATGTTAAAATTCGTATGGAAACATAAGAGGCTCCAAATATCCAAGGCAATTTTATATAACAGAAACAAAGTTTGAGGCATCAAAATATTTGATTTCAAGACATACCACAGGCAGTTATAATCAAAACAGCCTGACTGGCACAAAAAAACAGATGTGAAAACCAATGGAACACTATAGAAACTCCAGAAATAAGTCCATACTTCTGCAACTAACTTATCTTTGACAAAGGAGCTAAAATCAATCCCTGGAGCAAAGACAGGACCATCTCTTTAACAAATGACTTTGGGAATACTAGGTCTCCACAAGCAGAATTATGACATTAGACCTCTACATTCCACCTTACACAAATATCCACTCAAAATGGATCAAAGACCTAAGTCTAGAACTGAATACCATAAAATTATTAGAAATCATTGGAGAAACTCTGCAAGGCATTGGCATAGGTAAAGACTCCTTGGAAAAGATCCTAGAAGCATAGACAATCAAAACCAAAATTGACAAATGGGATTTCATCAAGCCGAGAAGCTTCTGCACTGCAAAGAAATCCCTCAACAAAGGGAAGAGGCAACTGACAGAATGGGAGAAAATATTCACAAACTTTGCAACTGATAAAGGGTTAAGATCCAGCAATCAGGCACTGTGGCGTATCAGGTGGGACTGCCACCGGCAGTGCTGGCATCCATAAGGCACCGGTTCTCATTTCAGCTGCTCCACTTCTGATCCAGTTCTCTGCTGTGGCCTGGGAAAGCAGTGGAAGATGGCCCAAGTCCTTGGGACCCTGCACTTGTGTGGGAGACCCTGAGGAAGCTTCTGGCTCCTGATTTTGGATGGGCAAAGCTCCAGCCATTGCAGCCAACTGGGAAGTGAACCAATGGATGGAAGACCTCTCTCTCTCTCTCTCTCTCTCTCTCTCTTTCTGCCTCTCCTTCTCTCTCTGTAACTCTGAATTTCAAGTAAAATAAAAATATCTTAAAAAAAAAAGATCTAGAATCTTTAAAGAGCTCAAGAATTTCAACAACAACAAGAAAAACAATCCAGTTAAGAAATGCACAAATGACTTGAACAGGTATTTTTCAAGAGAGAAAATTCAAGTGGCCAATAGACACTTGAAAAAATTCTCTGGATCATTAACCATCAGGGAGATAAAAATCACTACCCCAATGGGGTTTCACCTCACTTCAGTTAGAATGGCTCTCATACAGAAATCAACAAACAACAAATGTTGCTGAAGATGTGGGGGAAAAGGTACCTTAATCCACTGTTGGTGGGAATGTAAACTGGTACAACCATTGTTTAAGACAGTATGGAAATACCTCAGAAATTGGAATGCATACCTATCATATGATTCAGCCATCCCATTGCTTGGAATTTACCCAAACCAAAACAAATCAACATATTAAAGAGTTATCTGTACCCTCATGTCCACTGCAACACAATTCACAATAACGAAGATTGGAATCAACCCAGAGTATTACTCTGCTGTAAAAAAAATGAAAACATTCTACTTAATGAATTAAGCCAGTCCCCAAAAGGCAGATATCACATGTTTCCCTGAGCCCAGGTAACTAATAGAGGACCTAAAATGTATTTCTTGGAGTGAGAAGGACATTTTGAGAATGATGATTGCTTATAGTCCTTGTCTCTTCCACTAAAAAACAGTATTTTTTCCATACTATTTGTTGAACTCTTTTACTTAGTTTAGGGTTAACTTTAAGATCATTAATTAAACTGAAAATAGATCTTTGTAAAAATTAAGAGTGGGGATGGGACAGGGAGGAGGAAAAAGTTTTGGAATATTGGCAGGAGGGAGGGTAGGGTGGGGAGTACCACTATGTTCCTAAATCTGTATATATGAAATATATGAAATGTGTGTAACTTAAATAAAATTAAAAAAGGAAAAGAGGAGAGTTGGCATTAAAAGGTTAAGATATAAGCTGAGCAATTGCAAAGAATCAGAATCCTCCATGTTCAGGTAAGCAAGTTGACCAACTTCACAAACAGAGATTGCTGGGAAGTGTCATCTTGAAGTTCTTTGACTTCTGTCTTCATGATGTAGTTCTTTATTTATTGGAAAAGAGGTGATGAGTTGCCTACAGTCCTAAAAAACAAGCAATATATACATCACATTCTTCAATGCAGAAGTGAAAGAATGCATACTGTTGAATTTAAAGTACATCATCAACTTGTACATTCCCTTTGCTTTGTATTTTGCTTGTTGGAGAGAAGTTTTTTCCAGATAGCTAGTCTTTGTAAAGTTGTTAATATTTGTGTTACATTTGTAATATATAGAAGGTAGGAACTTTTTAAGGTTTTATTTATTTGAGAGGTAGAGTTACAGACACAGAGAGGGAGAGACGGAGAGAAAGGTCTTCCACCCACTGGTTCACTCCCCGAATGGCTGCAAGGGCTGGAGCTTAGCTGATGCAAAGCCAGGTGGCAGGAGTTTCTTTCAGGTCTCCCACACAGGTACAGGTACCCACGCAGTTGGGCCATCTTCCATGGCTTTCCCAGGTGCATTGGTAAAGAGCTGGATTGGAAGAGGAGCAACCAGGATTGGAAACGGTACCCATATGGGATGCTGTTGCCACAGGTGAGGGCTTAGTTTACTATGCCATAGAGCTGGTCCCCAGCAGGAATTATTACCATTAAAAATGTCTTGTAAGTAGGCACTACAGTAAGATATAATAGGAGATTCATTGACTAATGGTCTATTTATTCTTCAATTTTCTACTTGGTGTGTGTACTTGGGCACAATGTAGTTAGTTATCTTGTAAAATTAAAATCAGATCAGTGTGTATTGAGTTCTATCTATGCCATTAACTATATGTGTAACCTTAGACAAATTCCTCAAGCTCTCTGAGCCTCAGTTTCCTTGTGTACAAAGTGTGGATTGTGTGTACAGTGTTACTGCGAGTTAAGTGAAACATACCAAATGTTCCCACTCAGATACAAGGCAAAAGCACTTTGAACCCATCAAATGGAGTCTTCTTTTTGTTCAGAAACTCATTTTTTTTTTTTTGCCCAGTGAAAATGAATTGCTTTATTCTTTGGGGAGACCACAACAAATGTTACAAGTATTAGAATAAAACGAGGGAGTCTGTCTCACTGGATAATTGTGAAGTGTTCTAGGTGGCACTGTCCTTGATTTCCCTGACCCCTTATCAATCTCGCTGCCTTGAACTCCTGCTTCTTCTTAATGTTCGCTGACATCCCCCCCAAAATGTGCCCTTCCCTTACATTATGATCTTCTCTGCTATTTTTTTAAAATACAGTTTCCTCATCTTAGATTCTCACTGTTGGAGCCACCTCTACCAGCTGCTTCCCTTTCTGTGATGTCTATTGTTCTACCTTGTGCTAACTTTTCTGCTTACAACAAAGCAGGAAGCAGATGTGGTAGCCATAAATGCAGCTCATTATCTGGATAAAAATTTGACTTGGCAGCAGTACACCTTGGAGTTGCCAAGTCAAATGCAACAGAGTGTGTGTGATTTGATTAAATAAAATATCAAGTTTACTTTTGCTGACCACACCTCCCATTTGGCAGCAGTTGGGGCTCCAGGCAACTATGTGGGGAGGCAGAGACACCAGCATGATCACAGCAGAGGCCCTGCCAAGTTTCTTCCGCTACCCTCTAACTGCATGCTTTTTATATCTCCTTCAAGTTGCTTAGGCATCTCAATATAGCTGGTTCCAAGCTGAACTCTTGATTTTCGCACTGAAGCCTATGATTCCTCTAGGCTTCTCTATCTCAGTAAGCATCCATCTAAGTATTTAAATCAGAACCTGTGAATCACTCTTGATCCCTCCTTTTTTTTTTTTTCTAAAAAATATCTATCACAAAGTCCAGTCTATCTTCAAAGTTGCCTGCCTATTCTTCAACTATAGCCCTAGTCCAAGCTGTCCTTGTCTCTCATCTGGTTACCAAATTCATAGCTGTGGTCTCCCAGTGTCCTGTTAGGCCATTGCTCTCCCCCTCCCACATGTTCATCATACCACATTGAGAGGACTCTTTAAAACATTCAAATCTTGTCATGTCCTTCTCCCATTAAAAGCCCTTTAATGAATTCCATTGCATTATAATAAAATCCAAATTTTGTACAGACTGTAGGACATTATATTTCCACCTCCTACCTCAAGCTCCCTCTCCTCCCACCCTCCCAATGGCTCTGCCCATTCCGGCCATTACTGCATATCCCATCTCCTTTAGCCAATCATATTCTTCCTTGCCCTGGAATCTTCCTTTAGGAGTCTTCCTCCCTCCTTTCATATGAATGGCTTATTCTGATCTTCAGGTCTCAGGTTAATCTATTGTGACTAAGTTCATGGTAACACTAATCCTCTATTAATATTTTTCATAGCATGGTGCCCTCTACTCTTGTAATTTCCTATGTAATTTTACATTTTTTGTGGCTTCAAAAAAACTTTGAAACTGTAAACAGGGGTTATTTAAAATGTTCATGGAAAAGATATATGATGAAAATCGTGTACATAGGGGCCGGCGCTATAGCACAGCGGATTAATGCCCTGGCCTGAAGCACCAGCATCCCATATATAGACGCCGGTTTGAGACCTGGCTGCTCCACTTCTGATCCAGCTCTCTGCTATGGCCTGGGAGTGCAGTAGAAGATGGTCCGAGTCCTTGGGCACCTGTACTTGCATGGGAGACCTGGAAGAAGCTCCTAGCTCCTGGCTTTGGATCAGCACAGCTCCAGCCATTGCAGCCAACTGGGGAGTGAACCATCGGAAAGAAGACTTCTCTCTCTGTTTCTCTCTGCCTCTCCTCTCTCTCTGTGTAACTCTGACTTTCAAATAAATAAATAAATCTTAAAAAAAAAGAAAATAGTGTTCATGATTTCATTGATTTTTGCAATGAAATACTCTTTTAGTTCCACATTTCCATGAACTTAAGAAAAGATTTAATTATTTGAAATGCAGAGATAGAATCTTTCGTCCCCTAGTTCACTCCTTGAATGGCTGCAACAGCCAGGACTGTGTCAGACTGAAGTCAGGAGCCAGGAATTCCATCCAGGTCTTCCATGTGGGTGGCAGAGATCCAAATACTTGGACCATCATATGCTTCCCTCCAGGAACATTAGCAGGAAGCTGGACCTAAAACATAGAGTAACTGTGACTCAAACAGGCATTCAGACATGGGATGCAGGTGTCCCAAGCAGTGACTTAATCCCTGGCACTAGAAAGCCTGCTTTCTGAGGTCTCTTAAAGACTAAGTTTCTTAAGAGCCTGGAATGTAAGGCATCCATAAATGCTTTGGGAATTTGTTATGAATTCATGAATATAATAGACATATATTCGTGAATATAATGGACAGGAAAAAGGACAGCAAATTCTGAATAGGCATAGAGCTAGAGGAATGCCATATTTTACCAGAAAGAAAGGTCACATTGATCTTGTGTTTTAATCCACTTGTTTTAATTTAACGAAGTCTTTTGATAAGTTAAAAAAAGGGGAAAATAGAGTATTCCTTTCATTTTCAAAATCTTTCAAGGTCAAAATTGTTGCACAAATCTAGGTTAGAGGGGAGGCTTGTCTCCAACACTAGGATTTTGAAGTATCACCCCAGACACCTATCAAAACAACAGTTATGTGGATGTCTTTGTCCTCCTCAGAACTGCACAGTCTGTGAATCAAAGTCCTTAATGTCAAAGCAGTCACGGGGCACCTTGAGAGGGGAGCCCCAGGCTCCTCACTGATGGCTCTACATTTACATCTTTAGGGCATCGGTCATCTCAGTGCAGGAGCTGTTCACATCCAGTTGATTTGGGACCTGTATCTTTTTCCTGCTGGGTGCTCAAAAGATGATCTTTTTTGTTTAGTTCTAGCAAAGAAGTCGTAACTTTAATAAAGTTAGTAAAATCTTATGGAGGTTTAGTATGTAATGCTGTATTTATCAGCGTCCTTTCCATCCCCTCTGTTCCTTCTCTGTCTTTTCCTTCCACTCCTCCCAACTCCCACCATTATTTCCAAAATAGCTAGTCTCAACCCACTGAGTCAACTTCTTGCTCTGAGTTAATTTCTTGATGGATATTGATTTTCAGTTACAAAGCCAAAACAAAAGAAACACTTTGTTGAAGAACATACTGGAGAGTAACAGACCCCTCTTCACAATGTAATTAACAGTGGGTCTGTACTTAAAGCAAATGTAGAATAAGCACATCAGTGAAGATTTAGAATTTTCTGTAAATAATTATAACGGCTATGGTGCAGGGAATCAATAATCCAGTGTTGAATGTTGTGAGATGAGAGTAGTCTGGGCCACACACTGAGGATCGATAGAAATTAATCAACACAAGAAGGAAAAATGTATCACACCAGAATAAATAACTAAGAGCACAAATGTGTTCCTTAGTGAGGAATTAATATCAGAAGTCCATTTTATTCTTTTATTTGTTTATTCATCTACACTAGGTGGAAATAAGACATATCCTCTACTTTTAAGGGATTTAAAATGAAATGTATTATTTGTGGTTTAGTATGTATAGTAAATATATAATATAACACTAATGTGTAGTTCACATTCTATATTGATGTTTAGGTTGCTTGTAATGAACTACTTCTGTTAGCTGAGTAAGTCCAGAGGCAGGAAAACTACTCAAGGCATACAGACATTCAGATTCTGTAGACACCAAATCACTGGTGTAGTCAAGATGCTGGTGGGTAAGAGTTGAAACAACAGGTAAGTCAGACCTTTCCACCAAAGCTGATTGCAAAAGCTTATTTCTCTTTGTGAGTATCATATGTTATTCTTGCACATGCTAAACATACAATTTTGGACAGTTTTACACTAGCATTGAATTTTGCAATAACTGTGTTTTGCTCAATTTAGAAATCCTTAGCCATTGCCTTTCATTGATTTTTAATTTGATCAGTATCTTGCCTACCCTAAAATAATTATAAACTCCTTTAAAGTTAGGATGATATTTTCATTTTTAATATTCTTAAATGATTATTGACCTTTCTCTCTGTCTCTCTCTCACTGTCCACTCTGCCTGTCAAAAAAAAAAAAAAAAAAAGAAAGAAAAAAAAAGAGGAAAAAGAAAAAAAAAAGAGGATCTGCGACCCGGCTCACTAGGCTAATCCTCCGCCTTGCGGCGCTGGCACACTGGGTTCTAGTCCTGGTCGGGGCACCGTATTCTGTCCCGGTTGCCCCTCTTCCAGGCCAGCTCTCTGCTGTGGCCAGGGAGTGCAGTGGAGGATGGCCCAAGTGCTTGGGCCCTGCACCCCATGGGAGACCAGGAGAAGCACCTGTCTCCTGCCATCGGATCAGCGCGGTGTGCCGGCCGCAGCCCGCTGGCCGTGGCGGCCATTGGAGGGTGAACCAACGGCAAAGGAAGACCTTTCTCTCTGTCTCTCTCACTGTCCACTCTGCCTGTCAAAAAAAAAAATGATTATTGGGTAACATAGTAAGCAAAATATGTGCTGATTAAATAAAAATTAATGATAAATTTTCTTCCTTTTGAAAAAAAGGGACTGAAGCCATCACTTGCATGAATAAACAAAGTTAAAACAACTTATATTGACTATAATGTAAAGTTTCTTTCAAAAATTAATAGAAGGGGGGCCGGTGCTGTGGCATAGCGGGTAAAGCCTCCATTTGCAGTGCCAATACGTCCCATATGAACGTCAGTTCAAGTCCCGGCTACTCCACTTCCAATCCAGCTCTCTGTTATGGCCTGGGAAAGCAGTGGAAGATGGCCCAAATGCTTGGGCCCCTGCACCCATGTGGGAGACCTGGAAAAAGCTCCTGACTCCTGGGTTCAGATTGGAGCAGCACTGGCTGTTGTGTCCATCTGGGGACTGAACCAGCAGATGGAAGTCCCTACTCTCTCTCTCTCTCTCTCTCTCTCTCTCTCTGCCTCTGCCTCTCTGTAACTCTGGCTTCAGATAAAAATAAATAAATGTTTTTTAAAAATTAAAGGAATGGAAAGAAAGGAAAATAAAATTATGCTTTTTTCCCCCTGTGTCAAATGGTTTCCATGTTTCTTAACTAATCTGCCCCTTTTTATTGGTACCAGAATTTATCTCCAATTAGCTGTGAAATTTTAAGAGGCTGAAGTAACAGACTGTATGAGGACTATTGTGCTAGTTTCCTGGGGCTTCCATATTAGATGATCATAAATCAGGTGGCTTAAGCAAATCAAATTTATAATCTCATAGTTATGGAACTAAAAGTCCAAAATCAAGTATCAGCAGGATTGTTTCCTATTGATGGCTGGTGGGGAGAGAATCTGTCTCATTCCTCCTCTCTGTCCGGGACTAGAACCCGGGGTGCCAGTGCCAGAGGATTAGCCAAGTGAGCTACGGTGCTGGCCACTTGTCTAAATCTTTTATGGTGAATTCTAAAAGATACTCCCAATTCTTTCTGTTACTTTGTCAAGGGATTTTATCTGCCTGACAAGCCCATATTTTAAATTGCAGTCATCACTCAGATCCTTGGGGTCATTGGCTCAGGGGTCACTGTGGACACCAAAATCCATGGGTGCTCAAGTCCCTTATATAAAATGGCATGGTATTTACATATAATGTTTGCACATTCTCCCATATAGCTTGTCACCTCTAAATTATTTATGATACCTAACACAAGTTATATGCTAAGAAAATAGTTGTTTAGGAAATAATGACAAGGAAAAGATCCTTAAATTTTTTTTTTTTAATTTTTTTTTTTTTTGACAGGCAGAGTGGACAGTGAGAGAGAGAGACAGAGAGAAAGGTCTTCCTTTGCCATTGGTTCACCCTCCAATGGCAGCCGCGGTCGGCGCGCTGCGGCCGGCGCACCGCGCTGATCCGATGGCAGGAGCCAGGAGCCAGGTGCTTTTCCTGGTCTCCCATGGGGTGCAGGGCCCAAGCACCTGGGCCATCCTCCACTGCACTCCCTGGCCACAGCAGAGGGCTGGCCTGGAAGAGGGGCAACTGGGACAGAATCCGGCGCCCCGACTGGGACTAGAACCCGGTGTGCCGGCGCCGCTAGGCGGAGGATTAGCCTAGTGAGCCGCGGCGCCGGCCGATCCTTAAATTTTTTTTCAAATATTTTGATCCTCTAGTTGGCTGAATCCATAGATGTAGAAAGCACAGATATAAAGAGCCAAGTGTAACATCAAATACATCATAGTTTGATCCTAGTACCCCCTTGTTACGTGTCAAACATCTTAACTTACCTAGATTTTATGACTATGTAACTGCTGCTCATCAGCAGGAAACCATAGGGAAAACTGGGGACTCCACAGTGGTAGGAAGCAACAGAAAGAACATAACACCTATCAGAAAAATATGTAGCATGTCAAGACTAAAAAAACTACTTAGAAATATTTCAGCATAACTATTATGAAGAATAGATAGAAAAGTCAAATGATGTATTTTCAGACAGACTGGTTTCCATCTAAAATAGTAAGCTATTTTGAAGAAAATATATACAAATGTATCTAATAGCACAAAAATCAGACCTCAAGTTAAGTGTCCCTTTACTTTCTCTCATCCCACACCATCTAAAATATCCCATCATGATATGCACACCTGCCCTTCTTTGGTGTATTTACAGGACAAAGCTCCACTTAGTCACATCCTCTATGAACAGTGTCCTATTTGAGTTTTAGTAATATCCTCCCACTGTACATGGTAGCAAATTGGCACATGGCACAAGGAGACTTATGCTCCTGTAGGTCAGTTAACATACCACCATTTCCCTCTCCTTAATTTGCTTTCCCTTAGTCACCAGCAGGATTAGGTATGGGAGACTGAAGGATATCTAGTCTATCCACCATGCTTTTTGGAAAACCCCACAAAAGTAAGTTAGTTTTTATCACCTTCATATAGTAGGCATGTTTTATGTTAGTGTTAACTCTGTGGATTGGCAGAGAGCAAATGCAATGGGAAGCAGAGCCTGAATGAACCCATCCATGGAAACACTTCTAAATCTTCCTCCTTCCTTTATGGCTCTGGTCATTGTAGCCATATTTGGGGAGTGAACCAGTGGATGAATATCTCTCTCTCTGTCTCTCTGTAACTCTGTCTTTCAAATAAATAAATATTTGTAGAGTAACAAGATGGTATATTGTATATCATTATATTCCAAGTGCTGCAGGTTGCATTTTAAAGTGATCACCATTTTTCTCACCTTCTCCTCTCACTCTCCTCTGCAATGTGACTTTGCTGCTCAAGCTACCAGAAGATGGAGACAATTTCTCAGAACCTCAGAATCTGAGCTGGCCTTGTGACCTGTTTTGACCAATGGGAAGAGGTGAAAGTGATGTTCTGTTGGGTTCTAGAAGTCTCAAGTCACATTTCAACTTCTATTATAACACACTGTGAATTCTTCCTTGGGATGTCCACAATGGGACTCTGGCCTAATCAGCTGGAGGGTGAAAGATCTATGGAAGGGACTGGGATGTTCTGCCCAATGCACTCATCAGCCATCAGATAGGTAGAAAAGGTCATCTTGCATTCTCTTGTCCACCTAACATTCGACTTGACGCAGCCAAATGTATGAGCAGAGATGAGACTAGCTGAGGTTCCCAGAGAACCATGACAAATAGCAAACTGTTGTTGAAGCCACTGAGTGTGGGGAAAGTTTGTTACCCAGGAATATGTAGTTGAAATTTCAAGTGATATAGAGCAAAATGCAATTGTAAAGGTGGGTTTAGAGAAAGGATGTGTCACCAAATGTGGGAGTGGAGGGTATGGAGGAAAGGGTTCATGAAAGATGTGACATTTGAACAAAGCTTAGAAGAAAAATTTCAGGTGAACATCTGGGGAGGAAGAAGTGAGTATGTAAGCTAAGGAAACAACATACAAGAATAAGGCATGCATGGATATATTTGGGGGATCAGGAATGTGGCTGTGAGGGTCATGAAGGAAACCAGACTGACAAATAAGGAGTTTAGTGAGAAAGATGATGGAATTTGTAGAGGTGAAAAAGTATTGAAAGCTGTAAAAATTAGACAAGAAATGCCACTGTGATTCTTTAAAATTCCTACCTGCCTTATGAAACTTCCAATTTCATACTACTTCTTTGTTTAATAAATGTTTTTTGGATGGCTATTATGTGTTAGACAATGTGGTCTATGAGCAGACCTCATTTAGAAATAAGTTCCTGCAGATGCAGTCGAGTTAAGATGCAGTCATACTGGTTTAAGGTGCGGTCTTACATCCAATAACTTGTGTCTTTATAAAGAGGAGGATGTTTGGGGACATGGGGAGACACAGAGATACACCTGGAAGAAGGTGACAGAGATTAGAGTCTTGCAACTGCAAGCTAAGGAACGCTGGAAGCTGGGAGAGAGACTTGGAGCAGATGCTTCCTCAGTCTCCAGGAGGAATCAGTTCTGCCAACACCTTAATTTTTGGCCTTCTAGCTTATAGAATTATGAAAGAATAAATTTCTGAGGTTTTAAATCCCCTTGATTAGGAAAATTTCTTGTAGCAGCCATAGGAAACTACTGGGAAACTACTGAAGATGCTGGAGATTGAGCAGGAAACAAAACAGATAAAAATTCCTGCAATAAATTTTCATCATGTTACCTTTCCACAAAGATCACAAGCTGCTGGAGGGACAGTCTGAGTCTTAGAATCTTTATAGTTCCTTATGCACTGCAGACACTCAAAACATAGATGTTCAGTGAGTGATGTTCTAGGTGATGAAGAACTATTCCAAGAACTTGAGACAGCAGATTAAATTGAATTAGCACAGCCTGCAACCCTGATCATTACTGATGGCTGATCCTGAGAAAGCTGTTAACTTTTCTCTCCCATTATTTGTGTAACATGATTGCTAATACATTCCACTTGATATTAGCTGAAAGAACTTCATTAGATAATAAATGTAAAGTGTCAAAGTCACCATTAGCCACTTAGGATTTGGATTCTCTCTTCCCCTCTGCTATAATGGTATAATGAAAGTAGCACCTTAGAAACACTAATTTAGTAGTAGAATATCAGGTAGTTTAGAGGGTGGGGTAAGGCTTTAGGACACCTGTTTTGTAGACAATAGAAAAAACTGTGAAATTATATGCACTTGGTTGGGGTGTCGTTAATATGAACTGAGGAGAGAACAAACAAAATATCACTTATAAAGAATATGGGGAAAGTGGCGCTGTGGTGTAGCAGGTAAAGCCACCACATGCAGTGTCAGCATCCCATATGGGCACCGGTTCAAGTCCTGGCTGCTCCACTTCCGATCTGGCTCTCTGTTATGGCCTGGGAAGGCAGTGGAGGATGGTTCAAGTCCTTGGGCCTGTGTACCTGTATAGGAGACCCAGAAGACTCTCCTGGCTCCTGACTTTTGATTGGCGTAGTTCCAGCCGTTGCAGCAATTGGGAAGTGAACTATCGGATGGAAGACCTCTCTCTCTACCTCTACCTCTACCTCTACCTCTACCGCTACCTCTACCTCTACCTCTACTTCTCTCTTTGTGTAAATCTGACTTTCAAATAAATAAATAAATAAATCTTAAAAAAAGAATATGGGGCTATCATGACAGAATAGGTTAAACCACTGCCCAAAGCACCAGCATCCTAAATGGGCACTGGTTTGAGTCCTGGCTGCTCTACTTCTGATCCAGCTCCTTGCTAATGTGCCTTGGAAAGCAGTGGAAGATGGATCAAGTGCTCAGGCTCCTGCACCAAATAAAGCTCCTTGCTCCTGGATTTGGCCTGGCCTAGCCCTGGCTGTTGTGGTCATTTGGGGGAGGGAGGTGAACCAATGGATGGAAGACCTCTCTGTGTCTCTCCATCTCTCTCTGTAACTCTGCCTTTCAAATAAATAATATAACTCTTTAATACAGAAGAATAATCCATGGAATTTATTTTTCCCCAGTAGCCTTTTGTTTAAGGAATACAAACTTCAAACATTTTATAATTACAACTTTAGCAACATGGTGATTCTTCCCACTGTACCCACCCTCCCAACCACTTAGCCATCCCTTTTCTTCCTCCCTTTCCTATTCCCATTCTTATTTTCTATGAAGATCTATTTTCAGTTAACTCTATACACATGCACATAATTCTATACTAAGTAAAGAGTTCCACAAATTGTATGGAAAAAAAAGAAAAACTGTTGCTCAACAGTTGAGACAAGGGCTGTTCATAGTTACTGCTTCTTAAAATATCATTGGAGGATGGTCCAAGTCTTTGGGCCCCTGAACACACATGGGAGACTTAGAAGAAGCTCCTGGCTCCTGACTCCAGATCAGTTCAGCTCTGGCCATTGCAGCCATTTGGAGAGTGAACCAGTGGATGGAAGACTTTTCTCTCTCTTTGTCTCTATTTCTCTCTGTAACTCTCCTTCAAATAAATAAAATAAATCTTTAAAAAAAAAGATGAATTGGAAATCTTCCCAATAAACACATTTAAAAAATTGACATCAAAATTAATTTATCTTTTAACTGTGTTTTCCATTTTTTAAAAATTTATTTGGGTTATAGAAGTTTCATGTATTCCATATATACAAATTTTTTTGACAGGCAGATTTAGACAGTGAGAGAGAGATAGAGAGAAAGGTCTTCCTTTTTTCATTGGTTCACCTCCTAATGGCTGCTGCAGCCAATGCGCTGTGGCCACTGCACTGCACTGATCTGAAGCCAGGAGCCAGGTGCTTCTACGGGTCTCCCATGTGGGTGCAGGGCCCAAGGACTTGGACCATCCTCCACTGCACTCCTGGGCCACAGCAGAGAGCTGAACTAGAAGAAGAGCAACTGGGACAGAACTGGCGGCTCAACCAGGACTAGAACCCGGGGTGCCAGTGCAGCAGGCGGAGGATTAGCCTATTGAGCTGCGGTGCCAGCCCCATATATACAAATTTAAGAACACAGTGATACTTCCCAGCCTACTCTCTCTCTTGCCCATGCTCCAAGACTTCTACATCCTCCCTCTCCCATTCCCACTCTTAATTTTTAAAAAGATCTATTTCACTTTATACCTTACACTAAATAAAATAATTCAACAAATAATATGAAGAAAAAAACTCTACTCCTCAATGGAAAAGACAAAAGCTATAAAACAATCATGTAATCTCAAAATGTCCATCTCACTCCAGTACATTACATTTTAGGTATTCTATTAGTTACTGTGGATCAGGGAAAATATATGATATCTGTCTTTTTGAGACTGGCATATTTCACTAAGTATAATGATTTGCAGTTGCATCCATCTTATTGCAAAAGACAGGATTTCATTTCCTTTTTAAGGCTTAGTAGTACTCTGTAGTGTACTTTCTTTATCCAGTCAATAGTTGATGGACATTTGGTTTGATTCCATATCTTAACTGTTGTGAATTGTGCTGCAATAAACATGATGATTCGGTTAACTCTTTCATATGCTGACTTGTTTTGGTTTGGGTAAATTCCCAGGAGATAGATGGCTGGATCTTATGGTAAGTCTACATTCAGATTTCTGAGGTATTTCCATACTGTCTTAAACAATGAATGTATCAGTTTATGTTTCTACCAACAGTGGATTAAGGTACCTTTTTCCCCACACCCTTTGTAACATTTGTTATTTGTTGATTTCTGTATGAGAGGCATTCAAATGGGGGTGAGGTGAGAACTCATTGGGATTTTGATTCACATTTCTCTGATAGCTAATGATATTGAGTATTTTCTCAAGTGTCTGTTGGCCAACTGAATTTCCTCTCTTGAAAAATGCCTGTTCAAATCTTTTGCCCATTTCTTAACTGCATTGTTTGCTTTGTTGTTGAATTTCCTGAGCTCTTTATAGATTCTGGATGTTAACCACTTATCAGTTGTGTAGATTGCAAATATTTTCTCCCATTAAGTCCTTTGCCTTGTCACTTTGCTGAGTGTTTCTTTTGCAGTGCAGAAGCTTCTCAGCTGGATATAATCTCATTTGTCAAATTAGATCCCCTATATATAGAATCATATCATGTGCAAATAGGGATAGTTTGATTTCTTCTTTTCTTTTCTTTTTTTTAAAGATTTATTTATTTATTTGAAAGTAGGAGCTACACATAGAGAAGGAGAGGCAGAGAGAGAGAAAGAGAGAGAGAGACACAGAGAGAGGTCTTCCATCAGATTGTTCACTTCCCAATTGGCCACAAGAGCCAGCTGTGCCGATCTGAAGCCAGAAGCCAGGAGCTTCTGCCAGGTCTCCCATGTGTGTGGAGGGGCCCAAGGACTGGGGTCATCTTCCACTGCTTTCCCAGGCCATAGCAGAGAGCTGGATTGGGAGTTGA